CTGCTGCACCCTATTGGTCACGACTTCCCACTAGAACTCCAGGTAACTACCTACCTGAATAGGGCCAGTCGCCAGTGAGCATCTCATTGATATTCAAGTATTGGTTTGTAGGGATTTGGCCCTATTCAGGTAGGTAGTTACCTGGGGTTCCAGTGGGAAGTCGTGACCAGTAGGGTGCAGCAGGTCGGGTGTGAGGATAAATACTCGCCGAAGACATTGGCTAGCGGTTGCGCTATATCGTGAATTGGCAGAAGTTAGAATTCATGGGCCATTAGATCGGGTCCCAGTGGCTTAATGGTCTACGAGCTCGCCTTGTAACCAGAAGGTCGTGGGTTTGAAACCTGGCGGTGTGTGTACTGATGAAGAGTCCCAAACTAGGCTGGTGAAACAGCTGTCCAGTACTCCCTGCAGGTTTTCCAATGGTTCTCTAACTAATGTCAGCTCATGATGAAATCCTGTAACCAATCAACCAAATCCCTACAAACCAATACTTGAATGAAGAAAATGTTCATCTGAGCTGATTTTTTTTGAAATATTGTAGAAGTTAAACTTCTAAACTCTTTCAGTTGAAAGGACAGAGTTCGATTCAGGTAAATAACAAAGGATAAAAACTGATCCGAATACAGCCATCTGGGATAAAACAAGTTGAATTAATTGCGAATGTAATTGTAAGCCATAAAAGTTGAACCAATGACAAATTGGTCAACTCAACTGCTGTGACTATGCCACCCTAGCATATATGGGATTGTTAAAGCGGTTGGTATTCAATAGACCATTGAAGAAAGGAAGTTGTCAACCAATAACTTTCTTAATGCATATCACCATGATTGAGTTTGGAGGGTATTGATCTTAGTTTCCATCATTAATCAAATACTTTCCATAATCCCTCTCTTGATGATTGTCAAAAAGCAATGAGAAACTCATCCATGAACACTTCTGAAAGCCATCAACAGTAGTACTTCGACATGTGTGACATATGCATCCTGACTTGAAATTAAATATACCAATATTTTAAACAATTTTTCAAAATTCATTTGTGTTAAAATGTCAACCAGTAAAACCAAATCACTGTGTTCCCATTCACATAGAAGAACACCCAGTTAGCTTTACAAAGATCACTGGTTGTGTTATAATAATAAGAATAATAATCTGTAACTAGCATATTTCAATGTGATGACTTTAATACATCTATGAGAGAAAAAAAGAGGCTTTTTGATGCGTATACATATACAGATTTTCCGGTTGAAAAATTCGTTAAAGGTGATGAGTTACCTTCATTCATCCATTCTAGTCGTTCACATTTGATTTATTTGCATTCCAAGTGACTTATTCAGTGTATAGAGGAGAGTCTGGGAGAAAATACCATCTGTGTATACTTGGAATTTATAATATAAATTTCTGGTTCTATATATATATATATATATCAGACTCTTATAGATTTAACTTTTTAATCAGTTTAGTTTTTCACACTAAATTTAATCTCTCTTTTCCCTTGTGTTAATTTGTATGAACGAATTTATCAAGTTGGGTTCTATCGTCATTCCACTGTAGATTAATCCAGGCTAAGATTTGTGTTTCAAGTAAATATATTTCTCTTCTTTTTGGACATTCTAATGAGTCGTTATTTTTGCTTGTCTAAGTCAGTGGGAACGGATGGGTAGTTAGAAATCTGCCCAGTTTGATGGAGTGATAAAGCAGGTATTGGATTAAAGGAATACCAGTCGGTGTGTGTATATGTAGACATTTTTTAAATCTTTTAGAGAATTAATTAACAAGTGATTGAGTGAGGAGGCATTCAGAAAAAAAATCTTTTTCTTGTTACTGATCAGAGAAATTCATTCTAATTTCTGTGTTCAATTTCTTTTTTATTCCTTCACGTTCCCAGTGGAACATAGGGCTTCAAGCTAGAGGCTTGAAGTTTCTGTAGCAGTGTTTATTTTTACAGGATGGGGTTGCTAGCCTCATGCCCAACCTTTCCTCTCTACCAGCTTTATTTCTGGCTTAGCGAGGTAAAGGAATGCGTCGGTCGGGGATCGAACCCCGGGCCATGTTCATGGTAGGCGAGCGTCCTAACCGCTATGCCACTGACGCACTGTGTTCAAATAGTATCAGTTTTTAATGTAGGAACGGTTTTTTTGTTGTGTTGACACAGATGTGTTACTCGTTACCTTGCATATTTCTCTAATATTCTCATCTGGTCGCTTAATTCTACGTTAGGAAGTTAAGGAGTCTGGTATAAAGCAGTCTTTGCTGTCTCAGTTTGTCAATTCTTGTAGTCTAACCATCCCTCTTTACTGCTCCCCATTAATCTTTCCTGACTACTTAAGAAAGACTTTGCTTTCTGCGTAGGGCACTAAAAGCTGTTAGTAGGGGAAGTGGATTTCGTAAACCAACTGGTTAACACAATTGTGGATAGACATATAATGTCATGTAAGAAACTAGCGATTCTATATTGTCAGACCCCGAACACCCTCTCTATAGCAGCTCTCTCCTTGCATTTCATCTGGTAGAACTAGAAGCATTATAGGAGGCTATATGCTAGGACTACCAAGTACAAAACCACAACTTGACGTTTGAAACTGGAAAACCTTCGCAAAAATTCCATTTTTTTCTTTTTTTTTATATTTTGTATTTAAATTTTTTTTATATGTGTTTTAAATGAATTTTTTTTTTTTTTTTTTTTTTTTTTTTTTTTTTTTTTTTTTTTTTTTTAAATTTTAAAATTTTGAAATTTTAAAATCAAAAATTAAAAATTTTTATTATTTGTTTCCCTTCCGACTTCCATATGAATAAATTTATCTTATTGCATTGGTGTCACTAATGTATGTGTTAAGATCACAACAATATTCAGCGAAGAGACTCTTTGCAACGAATTTATTATCAAGCTGTACAATCGTATACATATGGTTTTTTAGATCAAAAGTGTGGTCACATGAAATAATAATAATAATAGAATGAAATGCAATTAAAACATTTGTGATTATAATCATAGTTAAATGTCAAGTAGCAAGACAATTAATGTCATATATAGAATAATACATAAGGTGTATAGATGTTGGAAAGGGGTGCATAATTATTGGATTAGTGGGCTAATATGAAATGTTACATAACATGGTGGGAAATTTGATAAGATAGAATTCAATATTGTAAAAAAATTTTCTTTTGGATTTAGAATGACAAGTGGGAAAAGAGGAAGCAATTCAGAGTGAGAATAGTAATAATAATAATAATCGTAGTAATAAGGGAAAGGTACATAGAATAACTAAATAAACAAAATAAATAAATGTCTATCCCTCTACGGCCAAGGCAGAAGTAGGGATTGTACATACTTCTTTTGTACACAAAGGGAGAAAGGAAGTGTGTGCGAAGCTCTATTCTAGAACACCTGATCGACTCCTGTCACTCTGCCAACCCTGACCATGATTTTAAGATCATCTACCGAATCCATGCTAACTTGCCACGTTTTCTTCGTTACAGACTTCTAAAGACAGCGGAAGCCTTGGCAATTCATGACTTTAAGCCAGCCACACCTTTGTGTACAAAAGAAGTATGTACAATCCCTACTTGTGCCTTGGCCGTAGAGGGATACACATTTATTTATTTAGTTTATTTAGTTATTCTATGTACTTTTCCCTCATTACTACGATTATTATTATTACTATCCTCACTCTGAATTGCTTCCTCTTTTCCCACTTGTCATTCTAAATCCAAAAGAAAATTTTTTTACGATATTGAATTCTATCTTATCAAATTTCCCACCATGTTATGTAACATTTCATATTAGCCCACTAATCCAATAATTATGCACCCCTTTCCAACATCTATACACATCTATGTATTGTTCTATATATGACATTAATTGTTTTGCTACTTGACATTTAACTGTGATTATAATCACAAATGTTTTAATTGCATTTCATTCTATTATTATTTCATGTGACCACACTTTTGATGTAAAAAACCATATGTATACGATTGTACAGCTTGATAATAGATTCGTTGCAAAGAGTCTCTTCGCTGAACATTGTGTTCTTAATGCTACAATGGAAATTATTAAATTACTAATGTATGTGTCAATCTCCTTCTTCAATTTATATAGTCTTACTTTTGAATATTATGTATTTGCAGTTCTACGTCCTGTCGAATAAATTGATATGTTTCTTGTTGTCTGGTAGCTGAAGTCCTCAGGTGTCTTGATTCTTTGTAATATACAAACTAGAGGATGTCATCAAATTTGCAATTCACACACTTTGAGGTGAAATTTCACCATAGTTTCTTTTGAGAATCGAATTTTATTGAGATCACGATGTATGATCTGCTTGATATCATAAATGGTAACTAGAAAAGTGAGCGTAAATGCATGACACTACGTACTACTGATTTATTGAATATAAGTAGCTGAATATCACTCATAACTAGCCAGTAGGGGTTGCTAATCACGTCGAAGTGAGTTCGCCCACGTAGCTAACCAGAATTTCAGTGATTTTAACTGATTCTTAGCTCTTTGAGTTGATTCAAACCTTGGTACACACTGTTAATCAACTCGGTTCCGAACGAATGAAACTGCCTTCCGGTGTTTTTAGGTCGCTTCGATTTGGCTAGCAGACACTACTGATGGTTATGAGTAGTATAAAACTATAGATACGAAACAATTCAGGGCGTAGGCAGTCGTTACACGAATTACATGTTTTCATGTCTTTCAGTGAACTGCTTTATTCATGCTTTCGTGAAATTCTATGAAATACATTATTCTGTTGTTTTTTTGTTTATACTGATTTACCATGAGCATTCCATTATTATTATTGTTTTGTTGTTGTTGTTTTTGAATTTTGTTTCACGCTCGTCTACATCTCTTACGCTTCATTTCAATTTGTTTACTACTTATTCAAAACCTACTTACTTGCATATTAGTCTGTTTACGCATGGTTATTTGTTAGGCTTGACTTAAGTCAGCTTGACATAATAATAATATTAAATATTTGTTTGTTCGTTTTTTTCAGACTGGTCTATGCAAGCTACATGATCTATCAATTTGTTCATATGCTTGGACAATGAACAGTTTCCTATGGAGTGATACATACACAAGAAAATCTATTCTACAAACTTATCGTATACTTGTATTGAAAAAGCATGCGCATTTTTTGTATGCAGAGGACAAATGTATGAACACTGAAAACCTCTGCATTGATGATGATAATAATAATAGTACATCATCAGAGTTTAAACAGGTTAGTTAACTTGAGTAAATTTATTGGGATGATAGAAATTTCTCCTTTTGTCCTCATTACTGTGTATAGTTGTTTTCTTTTTCTTTTTCAAAGCACTTGATCATGAGATCATAACATTGAAAATGTGATCATTGTGGTAGAGTTTAATTCTGTCTCATGTCCCTTCTGAGTTCCTTCAAGGCTGCAGATACGCCTTGCTGACTGGTGAGTGCCAACTAGCACGAAACCTAGATCCAAGGCTTCCTGCCGATCATCAAATCAATGTGCACCGTGATGGCGAGCCACCTAGAATGGTAGCCACATTGCAAAACCTGACTGATAGAATTCAGTCTGCACCGAAGAAAGGACTAGACACATCACACTAGTTACTAGTGTCCAATCAAAGTAATTCTGTGTTTATTCGATGCAACCTAGATGTTCTCCAAAGCTGTATTTAGAATTAAATGTTGTACACGTTATTTCTGACCTCTATTAATCTGAAATCAGTGTGGAAATCTGCTGCTTTCAGCCTAAAGAACAAGATCCAGATTTTTAACTCTAATCTCAACTCAGTTCTTCCATATGACTGAGAGACTTGGCGCACGGGTTACCGAAAGCATGTTTAACAGGTTTCAGTCGCCTTCGTTGACCTGACATTGGAAATGAGATGGTCAGAAAATGTCACTCTTAGTGTTGCTTCAGGGAAGGTCTCCTTCAAAGAGCTGGATATTCTCCTCCTCAGCTGCCAAATCTCCCCTGAAATTCAGATTCATATACAGAGTTTTCTTCGGCGCTGAATCGCATTCTTCTCTTTTTGGTTTAGGTTTCATGTTCTTGTCGACAAAAACGTGCCGGGTAACGATTTTGAGCCAGGATATTTTTGAGGAATAGGAGCTCCTCTTCCAAGCAATCACTGCTGCAGATTCTTCTAATGCGATGGGTTAGTGCGATGATGAGAGCTCGTTTTCGGCTCAAAGGTATCCAACTATAGAAATGCGTTAGTTGGCCGTTCCACGTTGGTTTTCTGTGGATGGATCTCTTCAGGGTTCCATCATCTCTTCTTGTTAATTCCACGTCCAGAAATGGAATCTTTGAATCGTTTTCTAATTCCATTGTGAATTTAATCGAAGGATGGGAATTATTAAATTCTTGTAAGAAAACTCTGTATATGAATCTGAATTTCAGGGGAGATTTGGCAGCTGATATCCTAAAGAGGAGAATATCCAGCTCTTTAAAGAAGACCTTCCCTGCAACAACACTAAGAGTGACATACTCTAGCCGCCCAGTGCTTCGAAACATTGCGAAGGACAAACTCTCGCATATGGTCAGAAAAGATTAGCAACTAGAAACGCTGAAGTAGAACAAACTAGCCAAAAACTTGGCGCTCCGAAAATATGCCGAAGGAAAGGAAATCGGATCAGACCCACATTGAGGAGATGGTTGAGTACCATCACATGTCAGGCCCTCGAACGGAAACCGAATGGGAAACGGTGATTTGGGCGTTCGAGGTTGACATGATAGAGATCGTATAAGGAGGAGACGAAAATCTATGGGTAAATGTGGATCCAGTTAAAGGGAACTGCAGAGAAGGGGAAGAGATGGAGATGTTCTGTTGAAGCCTTATCTTTCACTCGGAACCTAGGGGAATAATACTATAAGAATTGGACTTATATACTTTAATTGACACAGAGTATAAACACTTTATAACTGAGTCTAACAACCGATGAGATTAATTTCCTGTGAATTGTTATTCCGACCTACATAAATTTAGTATAATCGGTCGGTATGCACACGTATTATTGCCTTATCTGTAAAATAAGTTATTGATTTAGAAAATCAATAATTCTAGAGAAAGCGCGTGTTAAAACCTTTCATTTTTCACCAGAGTTTTTTTCGGTTGCTTAACTGATTTAAGTTACTGATAGAAAGGTAGATAGATAGATAAGCCGGAATTATGAATACAGATTGTAGTATTGTGGTGAGTGCTACTTATAATCCGATATAAGTAGTATATCAGGAACGAAGTAACAACATGTTTGGCACACTGGAAAGAGCAATCAAAGAAGAGAACCATGAGAAGAATGTTGCCATATGATGCAGAATCCAAGAAGCTATCGAATGAGACGATATTCGACCAATTCGTCAAGGATGTGGTAAAGATGTGCAAATAGCCGGTTGAGAATATGGTATTCCAAATTTAGCTATGTACCATACGTTTCACCAAATAAACATTCCTTTCAGTCTCCTCAGTCGTGTCTTCTTTACATTTATATATATATATATATATATATATATATATGTGCCATAATGAGGATGGCAGTTGTTTCGCATCCTCAAAAGTTCGATACGCATCATATGGCAACATTCTTTTCATGGTTCTCTTCTTTGATTGCTCTTTCCAGTGTGCCAAACATGTTGTTACTTCGTTCCTGATATACTACTTATATCGGATTATAAGTAGCACTCACCACAGTATTACTTCCTATTTATCTTTGTTGTGTACACATCATATCTTCAGATTGAGCGGATAGTAAAAGAAATGGAATCAGGGAGATAGATTTAATGTAATCAGATGCTTATAGTGGGTTATAAAAGAAGGTGAAGTCAAAAAGAAAGTATTATCTTGCATTAAAATGAAAATAGGATAGTGAAGCTATTCCTGAAGATGTTACAAAGCCTAGCGAGGAAACTTCTACGACTGCGTATCGAACGTTTGAGGATGCGAAACAACTGCCATCCTCATTATGGCATATATATATACATCCAACTGCATCATATGGAGTCTTTAACCCCAAGTTTTCTTTGATGATGTGGGTCTCACTCGGGCAACTGGCACTTCCGTAGGGAGTTTGGAAAAGAGCCACTAAAGCATAATCCTTCTCAGTTTTCATGGCAACTTCAAACTGAGCAGTGGATACCCTACTGTCGACTAGCTCTATGACTTTTTGTTTTGCCCGTACTTCAAAGCCCCTTTCAAGCTAGCTATTCGATCTCTTGAAGTGTAAAAATTTAAGTTTCACTATACTGATCATTTAGCTTAAAATAATTGACCATATATAGATTTTATTTGCGCATATTAAAGTGACAAGATGGCATGAAGTGCTACAGTTTGGACTAGGAAGACCTGTTGGGCGATTTAATTTTGAATAAGTACTTAAAACGATGTGATGTTTACTATGAAGAGAGGGTTCAAAACGCAAGGTGTGCTGTTATGTAAGCTTGAACCGTTAGCGCAGGTTTCAGTGTAAATTAGTCATCAGAAGGTGATACGGAAATGTAAATGTAAGGGAAAAACACTGATTACCAAGATAAACTTAACTGTAAATAGGTATGCCTAAGTTTTGTTGGCTATTTTGGTCTGTTTAAACTCTGATGATTTCTCCTAAATTACCAGGAAAAAAAATGAATTTTCAAGTATTGGTTTTGTGGGGATGCTGGTTTTTTGGATGGAGGATTTCATCATGAGCTGACATCAGTTAGAGAACCACTGAAAAATCTGGGAGTAGTGGACAGCTGTTTCGTCCTACTTTGGGACTCTTAGGCAGCACGCATCCACACTGTGGGGTTCGAACCCAGGACCTTCTGGTTTCAAAGCTGAGGAGCTCGTAGACCATTGAGCCACTGGGACCCGATCCAGTACCAGTAGGGTACAGCAGGTTGCAGGTGAGGCAGTAACTCATCGAAGAAGACACTGCGAAATGGTCGCGCTATGTCGCGAATCGGCAGAAGTTAAAATTCATGCACTGGCCATTGGATCGGATCCAAGTGGCTTAATTGTCTACGAGCTAGCTCGCCTTGTAATGAGAAGGTGGTGGGTTCGAACCCCGCAGTGTGGAAGCGTACTTATGATGAGACCCAAACTAGGGCAAAACAGCTGTCCAATACTCCCAGGTTTTCTAATGGTTCTCTAACTATTGTCAGCTCATGATAAAATCGTCCATCCAATCAAAAAAATGAATTCTGTGAGACTTCAGACTCCATGAGTGGTCTGATTGAGAGACCTATTAAACGTAAATAGTCTATAAGTACCGACGTTTTTGGACTTCATTCTCTACGATAAACCCTGACGTAAACTATGATTGCTTATGAATTTCGGACTAGACTTTCTCAAACCCTTTCTATCTAGACTGGAAAGCCAAAGTATTTGGTTTGCTAGGAGGACATCCAATTCCTTCACAGTTAGTTGAACTCTCTCTCTCTCTCTCTCAGACCACTACTAAATTGAGTATAGAGTTTGCTTTATGACGGTAACTGATTTAATTGAAATCAGTTCACTCATTGTGAGCAGAAAACATAATTGAGGGAAGATACATTGGAATTATAAAAGCTACCCCGAAGTATATCACTTCAAGTTCCTATAATTCGCTACAAAATTATTAGAAAAAAAATGACAAGCACAATGAGTTGGAGTATTGTCTCAACTACAGGAGGAACGGATGAGGATGTCAAATCGAGAATCGGGAAGGCGAGAAACACATTTACCAACCTGAAACCAATCTGGAAATCTTCGTCACTCAGCATCAACAACAAAATTCGGATTTTCAATACAAACGTCAAGTCACTTCTTCTATACGGGTCAGAAACTTGGTAGGTCACAAAGAATATTTCCACCAACAAGTTGCAGACCTTTATCAACAGCTGTCTTCGTTCTTTACTGAAGATCAGATGACCGGAAAGAATCACCAACAAGAAACTATGGGAACAAACAAAACAAGAACCAATTGGCCAACAAATATGCAGGAGAAAGTGGAGATGGATTGGACACTCGCTGAGGAGGCCGCTGGGTGAAATCGCAAGTCAGGCCAGTGCTTGAGTGGAACCCGAAAGGGAAGCGGCGAGTGGGACGTCGAAGGGTGACATGAAAGAGATCGTGTGAAGAGGAACTGAAACAGTATGGACTAAGATGGATGCAGGTGAAAAGTACAGCAGAAGACAGAAGCAAGTGGAGACGTGCAGTTGAAGCCCTATGTTCCACTAGGAACCCAATGGAACCATAGCAATAATAATAATAACAAAGAATATGAATATAAAGACAGATAATTAGTAGGAAGTATTATCTTCAGTTAACGACTGGAATATTGAAAATTATCTTGTTTTGACTTGTAATCATCGTTTCCATCCTTCCTTCATCTTACATACTTCATATCCATATGTCTTATAATTAATTCCCCACTGAGATTAATTACATCAATTCCCGATGACATCATGTGTACTTTTTTAACGCCTTATCAGCTTTGGATGTGTTTTTTTTCTCCCAAGGATATTCCACTTCAGTGGATTACAGTGTTTAGTCTAATTAATCAGTTGTCCATATACAATGCTAAGCAACTCGATGGGTTTTCTTTCATTTTTACTAATTAGTTAGATGTCGAAAATTCTCTGGAGTGTATAATATGCACGGATGAACATAACTTGTGAAAAAAGAAAATTGGAACACGTGTGCATATTTAGCAGTATTGAAATGAAAGAGATAAGGGAAATGTATCTTGTGATAGTGTTTGACAAGGATATTTTTGTATACTTATTGTATATAACAATAACAGTTCTATTTTTCGATAGTCAGGAAGAAATGGAGATGGATTGGCCATACTCTGAGGAAACCATCAAGTGACATCACTAGACAAGCCCTCGATTGGAACTCGAGAGGGAAGCGGCGAGTTGGTCGTCAGTGCAAGGGTGACTTGGAGGAGGTCATGTGAAGAGGAGATGAAAACGTGTGGGCAGACACGGAGCCAGGTGAAGACTCTAGCAGAGAATCGAACGCAATGGAGACGCACGGATGAAGTTCTATGTTCCTGTAGGAATTAAAGGATACAATAATAATTATTATTCGATCGAGTTCTGAGTGGGACGTAGGGCTTCAACAGCGCATTTCCGTTTCACTCTGTTCCTTGTGGTCTTTTAAAGTTGACTCGACAATTCCCCATAGGCTTTCATCTCTTATTCACATGATCTCCTCTGTGTTACCTTCGGATACACTTGCAATTTGTCGTTTACTATTCGAGTCCTACTCGAGGGCCTGGCATTAGATGTTACTCTACGTGTTCAGCCTATTTTCATTCCTTTTGGGACATTTTTGGGCACTGGGTCTTTGGTTGGTTCATTGTTATGCAGAGTTTGTTGTCGCTTATTCTTTCCTGTTGACCATCTGATCTTCAGTATGGAGTTAAGGAAAGAGCCAATGACACTACCTGGCTACCTAAATCATTGTTAAGTGGAGTGGAGTAGTTCAAACCTAAGACCCAGTGTTTGAAATTCGAGCACCCAGTTCCGCAAAAAACGTTTTTGTTTGTATGATATATTAATTATCAAGCCAGTGTTACTAGGAGCCGTATAAGTAGAGTTATTATGGAGGTAATTTCACCTTTATTTCTTATCTTTAGGGATTGAGAATGCTAAAAACCTCTTTAACAGATATTTTTAAAAAATATTCATGGAGTTATTTGAATGTACTCTCACTGGTTTACAAACTACTTTTATAAACATGTGAATTGTAGTTGTTTAAAAATGTTTACTTCTTTCCAGCTTTGTTTATTACGTGGCATTAATCCATACGCAATGAATGATAAAGATTTAATGGAAGAACTACGCTTGTGGATTTCAATGTCTATGATCGCATCAAGTAAGCATTAAAGCGTGTGTGTTTTCATGATAGAAATTTCAAAGTAAACCAGTGGTTTTTATTTCTGAGCTTAGTTTTTTACTGGTGAACTCATTTGTGCAAGTTTGTGAGGTTGATTTCGACAGGCTATCCAATGGAATTGTTAGCCTAGGAAATTGAATTACTGCATAAATTGTTTTTTCTTAAATATGTAAACTTGGTCGTTTTTTAATGTTATTTATTGAGTTCTTCTACAGGCGGAACTGATGAGGATTTCAAAGCGCGAGGATCGGAAAGCAAGGCAAGCTTTCATTACTCTCAAGTCTGTGTGGAGATCAACAGCACTCCTCAGCATGAAAAACGAAATCGGGATTTTCAACTCCAATGTGAAGTCAGTGCTACAATGCGGATGAGAGAGCTGGCGCCGCTTCACAAAGGGCACTTCGAACGAACTACACACCTTCATCAACAGCTGTCTTCGCTCAATACTCAAGATCAGATGGCCAGCCAGAGATCAGCATCAGGGATCTTTGGCAATGAGCGAACCAAGTCAGCAGGAACCGACTGTGAAACAAATATGCATGAAGAAATGGAGGTGGATTTTCCACACTCTGAGAAAACCATCAAGTGGTTGACATCACACACCAGGCCTTCGCTTGAGTGTAACCCGAATGGGAAGCGGCGAGTTGGTCGTCTGTGCGAGGGTGACATGGAGGCGGTCATGCGAAGAAGAGATGGGAGAATTTGGGCAGAGGTGGAGCCAGGTCAAAAAGTTGTTGATTGACGGAACGCAGTGGAGATGTGCGGCTGAAGCCCTATGTTCCTCTAGGAATTGAAGGAAACAATAATAATAATTGAGTTCTTCATGTATTCCTTTGAGTTCCGTGTGGAGCATAGGGCTTCAAGCTTTTGGTTTTGAAGTTTCAGCAGCGCTGATGGTATTGTCGTTACACAATGGGGTTACTGGTCTCACCTCCGACCTTCCCTCTTTTTTTTCCGAGCTTTCTACCGGCTAGTAAACCAGGTGAAGTTTAGGAGTGCATCAGCTGGGAATCGAACTGTGGACAATGTGTGTGGTTGGCAAGCATTCTATCATTGCACCACTTACACACTACTATTCATTGAGTTGTATATTGGAATAGAAATGAAATAGCTACGCTCATAATTGCATCACTGTTTGTATAAGAAGTTTGAAGTACGGGTATTCTATCGTTGTTCTTTACAATGGCACGCCTATTACTTAATAGTGGACCTTTCAAAACCTGTGGGTGAATAGTCAGTGTATACCAAGTTGTACTGTTTAATTTATGTGCTGGATTTGAGTCTCCATTGGTACCGTCAACATCATTCGACTTAGAAACTTCTATATTAGATATTTCCAAATAAATAAACGTTTAGCGTTTAGGAATGGGGCCCTGAACCTACGCTCTAACCTTGTAGGCATTTATCAGCAGGGTGTTTCAGTAGTCTTGAAGGAACTCACCCTAGGTTTGAGATTCGAACCCCCACCACCCAATGCTGAGGTCATAGGCGTCTCCAGTGAGCTGTTCGGGCTGACGGCTGACCTACTGTAGGAGTGTAATGGATACATTTTTTGATTGGTCTCTACGTAGTAACCGATGTTATACGTGTGTAATCCTTGGTGTTGTTGCAGACTGAATTTCGTCAGTCAGTTTTGTGATGTGGTCACCATTCTAGGTGACTGACTCACTGTCGTGGTGCACTCTGAATTAATGTTAGATGGTTGCAGGCAATCGACAGGAAGCCTTGGACCTAGGTTTCGTTCTTGTTGGCAATCACCAGTCAGCAAAGCGTCTCTATAGTCTTGAAGGAACTCATGTTAACCATCTAATCTAGGTAGCCAATATTCAAGAAACTTTCTGAAGTTTCTGAAGTGTAAGCATCATTCCTGTGCTAGATGTCACTTCGCGTATGTTGTATGTTATATGCAATATATACATTTTCCAGCAAAAAGCATTTGGTATAACTAAGTGGGATTATACAAAGAAACAGGGCTGTTGCTGAAAGAAAAGCGATTTTATTTCTCCCATGAAAAACTCATTTTCGTATATGTATATATTCTCAAGCACTTAATCCAATAGATAAATGTATCTCATAAAAAAAAATATTTCCGGTCAAAGATGAAAGTGAAAAAGTTCAGTGACCGTAAAATTATCTGGAATTTTTTTTTGTCAATCAACTGAATTTACTTATTGACTGATAAAGTTAAAACTACAAAGATAAATCCTTAATATAAAGATGGTTATTTTTCTGCTTCAATCATCGTATTACTTCCTCTATAAATAAGTAAATGGTCATCTTTGTGTACTAATGAATAATTGTATATATATTAGTTTTATGATAAAGTTAACTGTACAGTAGGGCAGTGGTTAAAATTGTTCCGGTTTTCACACTTAAGCTATTCTGTGATTGTTACTTGGTTAGTGGCTGCCCTTTATGGAGTTTCAGACACTCATTTTATCCTGCTTGGGACTCGTTAATTTAGTGTACCTGATGCCCAGTGTGATAGTGTTCTCTCTGAGAGTCAAACTGAGTATCCAACTTTTCAAGCGCCAAAGCATTACCCACTAGGCTGTTGTGTACCATAAGAGCCGCTTCGTTTGAAACAGGTATAGGCTGTTATTTGTTGAATTTATCTTGAATATTCCTAAACATCTGGTCTTTGTTGACATGTCAGCTTCTAGTACGGATGCTTTGACGGGTCAACCATGTAGCATCATGTTGTTGGAGTGTCCTTATGGGGAGCTTATGTGTCATCTACAGAAACCCAAGCATTTTGACCCTATATATAATCAGTCATCGCGAATTTCAAAACAACTTCAACAACTAATCCTGAGATTGTTCTATAAGCATATTAAATGCTAGACATAAGCTGTAATTAATCAAAATACGAAATTATAAACTCTATTGTAATTCAGCTATTTTTAGAATGATATTTCCTTTTGTAAAATAAATGGAATACTGTCGATTAAGGGAAGCTAGGCAGCATCTGTTTCAGATGCCACATCATACTAATGCAAAGTGTGTGCGTCGGTGGCACAGCGGTAGAATGCTAGCCAAGCACGCAGATGGTTCGCGTTTCGATCCCCGGCTGGTGCACTCCTTTACCTCGCTAAGATAGTAATAAGACTGATAAAGAGGAAAGGTTGGGCATGAGGCTAGCAACCCAATCCCTTAAAAATAAACATCATTGGTACCGAAACTTCAAAGCCCTAGCTTGGAGCTCTATTTCCCACTGGGGGAATGTAAAGGAATAAAAAAATGAGCAGAGGGTGGCACAGCGGTTAGGACTGTCGGCGACTAAGCACATGGTCCGCGGTTCGATCCTCTGCCGACACACACCTGATATCGACTGTTGGCCTGCAAAATTTGGGTTGCCGGTATCACATGCTGAAAATTCCACACTTGTATCAAAAACACGGTGTGGAGTCAAGCTATAATCAAAATTTAAAAAAAATAATGCTGATAGCATCTATGCCATAGAGTCTACTGTTTTCGAAATAACGCGCATGATGTTGAGGTAATATGTGCCTTGTATTATTTCATAGTACAAAGCAGTGATGGATTACTTTAAAACGGTATTCGTGATTGACTAATTTTATTTACATTGTCAATAAAGTCAGAGTAGTATTGAGTAACTTTTTATATGTTGTCTAGTACGAAAGCCATGGACTTGCTAAGTGACGAAAATAACGGATATTTAGATGTGATCGAGTAGTTTGTCTGCAACGTCTTAATCTTCAGTATATGCGGTATTCTTCAATATGCTAGATCAGTTATGTAGCCTACATTGTTTTCTTATGACTGAAGAGTTTTGGTTTTTTAATTTATGCGTTGAACAATAAACGTGAACATTTTATGGAAAATGCTTAACAATAGGGAATAATTCGATCAAGATGATATTATGCAATCTTTGACACAAAAGAATAGTAAATTAAGTGGTATATATAACTGACTAGTGTTTCACTAGTTCGTTTATTAAATTCACTTTTTCGACTGAAATGTTTTCAGTCATGTGCTTTGGTGGCTTAGTGGTAGTACACTCGCCAACCAAGCATATAGCATGGCTTCGATTCCCTGCAGATGCGCTCCTAGCATTGCCTAACTGCTGGTAAGCTCAGAAAAGAGGGAAGGTTGGACTGGCGTGAAACTTAGAACTTCAATGCTTGAAGCCGTATATTTCACTCGGACTGACTGGTTTCAACGTAGAACTTTGCACAGATGTGCAGCAGTTCGAGTCGTCACACTTCACATAGCACACAAAGCAAGAGAAGAAAGTAAAAAGAAATGCAAAATAGAGACAGTAAACAGAGATATGAGGCAAAAAGAATAGTCTGTTAGAAGGACAATAAAATTTTATTGGATATTGTAAATCACAAGGAGTGGCTGCATTTGTGTCAGCTATTGAGAACGATTTTGAGCCATATCGTCAATTGTCTGTAGTCATCGGTATTTGACGTTCCGAGGACCCCAACCAGTCAGGAAGTCTAAACCTCCCTATGTGACTAGCTGGTATAGCTAACTGTTGTGGATTTAATTAACTGATGAAGCCATATTTTGGCTTGACTACTGCTGAGCAGTACACACACCCTTTTAATTGATAGCCGGATATCACGTCTACGCCAGAGACGGCGTAAACTAGCAAAACGAGCCCTCTGTATCCGTGCAGAGATGTCATCAGCCATCTGGCGTTGGCTGATGGAACTTCTCAAATAAGTGAAGTGGTCAACACGCTCCACCAACCACTTCACTCCCTATCCTTAAACTAGGAGTGAGTCAATGTAGTCCAGTCCTGTAGCATCATCTTACATTTGACTGGAGCGAATTGCATGTCAAACATTCTAAGATTGCTGCTCATTCTGTTCAGAAGACTCTGCTGGATTTTGTCAGCATCTTCACCTAGGAGGAATATATCATCTGCATATTATAAGTCAGCGAGACTATTATTCTCTGGTAACTAGTCAATCCCTGAGTCAGGGTTAAGTCCATTAGTATATCTATGATGAAATTAAACAGAAATGGAGACAGTGGACATTCCTGACGGACACCACTGGTTGTCACCACTTCAGATAACAACTCTCCGTAAGCTCTTACCTAGCTGCATGATTTCGAGTAGAGTGCCTTGATCAGTGCAATGTATATTCTCGGCATTCCCTTCACAGCCGAACATCGCCATAGTACCTCTCGGTTGATGGAATCTAATGCCACCTTTAGGTAAAGAAATGTAATGATTGTTGGGCGCCGCCGGTAAGTATGCCTATGTTCCAGAATCTGTCGGAGGCTAAAGATAGGATCAATACACCCTGTTCCTTGTCTAAAGCCTGCCTGGTTCTTTCGTATTTGTTCCAATTATTCGATTGATTATTATTGAGCCAAGAACTTTAGATACCATATTAGTCACTCGGAGCGTCAAGGAATGTTAAACATTTTCAATTGAAGCAAACCATCAATTGACCAACTGATTGGTTATGCATTTATGTGATATAGTAACAATTTTGTGCATATTTATTTTTAGAACTATTTTATTAAAAATATGAACTGAAGGTGTTTTTTTGTGTTTGTGTTTCATTCTAATTGCTGGATGTTAATTTAAAATCTTCGTCAATTCTATTTATAGGTACAGATTACAGTTTTCGTCTACATCTCCCCTTGTTGTTGTGTTACAACACCAAGAACAGCAAAAGTGAATTTCTGACTAATTAACTAATATATTATGGCTGCCTGGTCGACTATTTTGGATATAATGGGCTAGTTAACAGACTGGTTATGTGTATTTTATCCCAACCTTTCTATTTCTGTATATTCTTAATTATTGCGTGTGTGTGGGGGTGGTCGACAATCAGTTGCATAATTATCTATCTAACTAACTAATTATTCATCGTTAATTTAGTTAATATTTTTTTGTATCTAGTCGAAAATTGTTCTCCTACTTCCTACTTCTCTGCTGTAATTTACACTTCCTTTTCTATTTTCTGTACTTCTTCATTGAAGAAATTATCATTAACACTATTGTAGTATACTGTATTCATATATATTGACTACAATCCACTGATATGATGAATTTAATTTAAAATTGTGAGTTTTGATTTTCGTTCTCGCTTCTATTTCAGTTTGAAATTTGAAATAACTTTATTTCTGACTTATTGACTGAGTTCCAGCAGAGAACTCAGGACAGAAGTGCAACAGATCAAGTTGAAACACTCCGTGTAGCACAAAAAGGTAGAGAAAAGAGGGCAAAAGGCAATCCAAAAGAACTAAGGTGAAGAGAAATGTACGAGAGGCAGAATAATTACATCGGGAAACATAATGACTAAATAGATCGAGAAGATTACAAAGAATGAATTCATCTGCGTCAATGAGCAGTCTACACTCACCTATGTGGCTTAAATAAAACTATCAAAGGCTTCATGGACTGATATTAGGTTTTGATTTGACCACCCGTGACTTTTTCCCAACTTATGTTGGCAAACAGTGTGTTCATCTATTAAGGCGGTGGCTCAGCATGTGTAACGCGTGTCCTAGCTATCGCAATCGATATAGCTTCACAACTTCATCCATTGGTTTGCCCTCCTTCTACATTCTACGCCTAATGTCAGTATTACTCACAGTGTTATACAAATTAAAGCGGGAGATAGAACGCAAATATGTGTGGTCAGACAGTTAATCTTCCACTTTCTGTGCCCATGTTTCACTTCCATAAAACGACAGCGAACCGCTGCGCAGTATTTATTTCTAAGCAATGTAACTACAGTCAAGAGCTTAACCTAACGGAGTCGGAACTATGAATTAGATTACTTAACTTGGTTTATCGATTAACATTCATTAAGAGGTCATGAATGAATGTGAATGGTCATTCGAGGCAGTTATTTTTTATAGTATGCATAAACGACGTCATCGGAGATTATTGCGTAGTGTAATTGTGGGGAAGATTATTATCTTGAATGGTTGCTTTCTTCTGTACTGGATGGTTCAGTCACGAATCTTCCATCACTTCTTTTTGACAACATTTTCGATGCTCATTTTAGTTTGAAGATGTTATCCAGGAGAATAATGAAACCTTCACGGTTGAACCACCCAGCTCAGAGAACACAACACCATTGAAAGGTGTGTAATCAATTTTATAACTTTGATTCGAAGCATTCAGTTTAATGATCAAGGTAAATAATTCAAGGTTGACAGATCCCGCTTTCATGTTAATTCCAGCATCATACACCAGTTTACGTGTACACGCCAAAGTACATACATTGTCCTCGGAAAAGAAAGATTTTTGACCGCATATTTGAGTACATTCTAAGAAACTCGTAACTAAAATGTGCGAAAGTCTTCAGCAGAGCTATTGCTTGTGAGATGATAGTCATGAAATTGTTTCTTTAAAAACATTTAAATTAATTAAAGATCAGGCTAATTCCAGTTTACAACGTGTCGGTGAAATAGTAGCTATTAAACGGTTAAAACTGAAGTTGTTCATTCAGAAATAAACTGTTGTTAATATAGCTCAGTCGGGTTTAAAAGTATCTTATGTTCAAACACAGTTGAGTGGAAAGAAAATGGATGTTTTAATATATCTCCGTGTGTCAGTGGCACAGCGGTAGAATGTTCGCCAACCACGCAGGTGGTTAGGGTTCGATCCCAGGCCGATGCACTCCTTTACCTCACTAAGCTAGTAATAATGTAACAACAGAAGACAAGGGCCAGGCAACAGATCGTTTATTAAGGAAAATCAACACATATTTATAGATTTTAATCTACACTATTGTAGATTATTGTTAGTAGAAAATACAGTCTTTTGATTGGTTGTTTCTCACAGAAAGTTAACCTTACATCTCCTTGTGGCTGTGTCAGATCATCCATATGCTAACTGTATCCGCCTACGCAAAGCCTTTGTTCTCGTTTTCTCACCACCAATATTGTTGACATAAACATTGACGTCAACTGCTGTCTACCAACTTTGGCTAGCAACCAGCTCTCACCACAATAAGACTGGTAGAGATGGAAGGTTGGGCACGAGGCTAGTGACCACATCTCGCAAAACTAATCACCACTGGTACCGAAACTTCAGAGCTGTAGCTTGAAACCCTATATTCCACTGGAGGAACTAAAGGAATAAAAAATTGTCTCTATTCAGGAAGACAACACACTTCAACAAATACTTGGATTTCGAATCCTCACATCCCATCAGTGCAAAGGTATCAGTTGTCTCAAGGCGTCTCTTAGAAGAACACACTCTATGATAATAGATGAAAAGGGAAATGAAGGAAAATCGAAAATTACCGAAATTCTCAAGAAGGATAACTATTCAAGGAATTTTGTTCACGAAATCAACGTCAACAGTAAACATAGCTGAAAACGTGGATTAAAGCACTTTAGAAGAGTTATTCAACAAATGCCACATGGCATTCACTAAAAAGCAACCTTGTTCATGTGAAAGCCTGAAATCCAAAGGAAAATCATCGCCCATAAGTCTACATGCTATAGAATTAAGCCAAGAAATTATCTTTGATAATATTGGAGTCATTCAAAAATCACGAAAGACATCTCATATCAGAAGCACTTCACACTAGATGGAATTCAAATTGTCTGCATGAACTCCTACATTAAACGAGAAAATATTACAGGTCTATTTCATTAAGATTATAATGGGACCAGCTTTTTATTTATGCTGTATTTTAGCCATCCATATAAAATTATCTGTTAGTGTAAAATGTATGCGTTTTGGAAACCTGTATAGTCTCTGAGTGAACCAGGAGTCGTATACTACATCTGAGATACAGGCACCACCAAGCACCTGTTGATGACTGGAAGTTTTTTCGTCGAGTTATGGGTTTAATAAAATGTGATGTCGGGGAGACGGCCTGTGCAGACGAAAAGTGGAACCGAACCAACTGTTCGAGAAAGATTCTCAAGCTATTGGAGCTTCATCTTTCAGAAATTATTCTACCCGAACTTTGCGAAAGTTATTTAATATTAGTGCGCAATTAGTATATAGAATGATGTGAAAACAGCTTTCGATGTCCACAATTTACTGTTCATTCATAATCTAACGAATATTTAGTTCGGCAAACAGGAATAAACTAACTAATTTGACCTCTATGTGTACCCATCCGTTTTATTAGTCAATTAGTCACGCTGGTTGGAAAATTAGGCATGTTCATCGGTGAATTTCCGAACATCATCCTGCTTGGTTATGCAACGGGCGAACAAAGTCTATTCGTAGCACTTCTGGTACATCTTATCGATAAATGACATATAACTGATATTAACAGAGTGATTGAGGTTATTTATCATATTACCACTAATCTTAATTTAGCTTTGCGAGTTTGTCTTTTGCACACAGTGTAAACCAAAGCTAATAGTAGCTTGATTGTTTTATTAGTTCGCTTTCTTCACTTTTGATTACCGTTACATAATTAACTTTAATGATTCAATAACTCGAAGGGCTTTACTAAATATCGGAGCAATGACGCCAATTGTAGCGACACAGTTTGTCGCCATATCCACGTAATGACAAGTAACAGTAAAAAAGATATTTTGACATAGCATATTGGGTATTTATTTGGATTGAATCCCAGTTCTAGCTAGTTTGTAGCAGTGAATGTCGCTTGACACTCATATCTAGGCTGTATGCCGAGTTAAGGTGCACGTTTGCATTTTCATAGTATCATACTAGTGTATGTGTCCTATCGCACTAGAAATGCCTCGTCTTTACCCGTATTCTGGTGACGCTAGATGAAACTAAGGTATTCAGTGTAACCTGTCAATAGATTATCGGTTTTACTTCTATTCATCAGACTAACTGTGTATTGTGCAGTTTTAGTTTTACTGTTTAGTTGTTGCCTTGACATTCTTGATATAAACGAGTGGCTGCTAACAAACTTAACACCAACATTTTCAAGTATTGGTTTTGTAAGGATTGTGTTTCATTGGTTGGGGGATTTCATCATGAGCTGACATCAGTTACAGAACCATTGAAAAACCACCTTAGAGTACTGGACAACTGTTTCGTCCTAGTCTGTGACTTCTCATAGTACGCAACCACACTGCGGGGTTTGAACCCAGGACCTTCTGGTCACAAGGCGAGCTCGTAGACCATTAAGCCACTAGGATGAAGCAGCTGCCAAGTACTCCCAGGTTTTCCAATGGATTTCACCAATTGACACCAACAGATTAGGAAATTGTGTTTTTTCAAGTGTTGGTATGGAACCATTGAATAGAACCTAATTTGAAAGTAAATATTTCTTTGTTTAATCTATTGTTTTCAGAATGTTAGTAGTATCCATGGTGTGATTTCCTTGTAGTTTTTTCCAATAAAGTATATGCTTTTTAAATTTACCTGTTTCTCATTTTTATGAGTTTACTCTCCTCTGTCTTTTTCTTATGATTATAGTTTTCATAAATGTTTTCCCCTGTATTTACGTGTCAAATTTCTTAATGATCAGGACTTACTGAAGAGTTTATATATTCATTTGATTATATCATGAAACTGGCAGTTATGTATAGAATTTCTTTCTATATCAAAGTGATATCTTATCATTGCTTGACAGACATTCTCAAGGAAATGTCCTCCTTTTGTAGATGATGAGTATTCCTACGTTCCTCAAGGGGAATATTATCTTTGGAAATATTCTCTAAAAGTCATGCATTTTTATTTACATTTTATTCACTTGATGGCGAAAAGTGTGAATGCTGAATTTTGAGTGGTTATCGTGGATACCTCTTTCGTCCCAGTTCGAGACTCTTCATAGGTGGAGCATCGCCAGTACTCCAACGTATTCAATTACTAAGCTAGAATTCAATCACCCGTGAATTCTAACTTCTACCAATCCGTGGTATAGCTTTACTTGCCAACCAGTGCTCTCAATGAGTTTCGGCTTCACGCCTGACATAGTGAACTTCACTGGTCACCGCTTCTCATTAGAACTTCGTGAAATTCATTCTATATTCACTTATGAAACAGAGATTGATATTCATATTTTGGGTTTTGTAGAGAGTACGATTATTTTCAATGTAGACTTCTCCTTTTCAGTGATTCTGGAATTGATGTCGGTGCATGACGAAATGTACGCTGACAATAACATAATTGCATGTA